TGCTGCATAGGACTTTGCACATCTGAATGGGCCAGGAGTCAGGGAGAGACAGAGACAGGACTTCATGGGCAGGTATCAGCCTTTCAGTGCCTGGTTGAGTGCAACATGGCAGCATGTAAGTCAGCAATAATGTCCTTCTGGTTGGTCAGGGTGGATGCCAGTTTGTCAAAGAAGGACATGTTATGTGTTACTACCCCTTACACTTCTTTTTCAGGGCTTTGATCTTCTCCCTGCACTACATGGGGTTGTGTTTGAAGCCCCAAAGCTACAGCAAAAGCCAAAAAATAGGTTGTGCTTCTGAGCTGATGCAGAGGTCCATGAAAATGCTCAACTTTGCCTCATTCCAGTAATGCCCACTCATGCTTATGGGTTGCATCTCTCCCTGTGTCTCAGCCACATCTGCCTCTTGCACCAAGCCAGTGTTTGGGAGGCTTGGGTGGTGAGCTTGAGAAACAGCTGGGACAAGTCCTCCTCTACTAGGTCTGTGGCTGCAACTCACCCAGGAAAGGCCCTTTCTGAAAGATGTGTGAGCAGCACACAAGTTGAAAACCAGCGCCAGCATGGGTGAGCTGATTACAAATCAGGTAGCCATGAAGACGAGGCAACAGATGGTGGGAAGAGCAGCAGGCACAGGGCAACAAATTACATGCTGGATTCACTTGGAGTTAAAAAGCAAGAAGAACCCAAGAGCAAATTTAGAAGACAATATATTCAGTGAGGTGCTTCCACATCTGAACTAGTGGGGGAAGCACAATATTGGGGTTTGCCCCCTTGAGAGGCTCATTTCAGGGCTCTTTGATCCTGTGGGAAAACAGTCCAGGGGCAGAGTTTAGGAAGGGGCCTAGACAGAAAGCAAGCTCCTTCAAGGACACTGTGCAAATAACAGGCAGCTATGGAACAGCAGCAAGAGGAAAGTGATCCAAGTAGCAAGAGGGGGTTGGAGGTGGGCATCAGCAGCTTGCAGTTTAAGAAGCAAATTCTCCTTCAGGAGGATTTTTTCACCAATCTTGCTGTGCAACTCTATAGCTGGGCATCCTGAGGGAGAAAGAAAGTGGTGTCTGGGTCTGGGTGGGCAAGCCCAGGGGTGACAAGGCATGGCTTCTTAGGGTAGCTCAGAAGCCACCAAAAAGCCATCCTGCAGGAAGAATCATGTGTTCACACAACACACCAAGCCAGTTGGGCTTAACGTGTAATATGAACCCAGTCATTTTAACAAAGCCAGAGTGGAGGGGTACTCATGTTTTACTTCCTGGTTACGGGGAAATATATTCATTCTAAACTATTGGAACACACCACTGGAATTGTGGTGGGGGAGGATCAACTGCCTCAAACAATATTTTCATGCCTACAAGTCAAAGATCATGAGAAGAGGAAGATAAGTCATATAGAAGTGGTGGTGGGGGAATGTAAGCCTGATTGACAGAAAGCCAGTGAAATTCTTGGAAGGAAGTGCCAAAACATTTGATTATACCCTGGGGAAAAAATATGTTATTTATTTATAATTGAATTTATAATCCACTTTAACCAATAATCCAGAATGTTATTTCCTCAGATCCCAGTGGTCATTGGAAACTCAGTGTAACAGAGAGAAAGTGCAACTTTCCAGGTTGTGCTCAGTGCGATGAAAGGACAGATATTTGAATGCAAATGCAGACTTCCGAGGTCCACATGTAGAAACCCATTCCTGTTGGGTCACCACTGACTCAGGATTAGATGATGATTAATTCGGGTTAGGGTTCCCACAAATGTCATGAACTCCTAGTTGAGCCAAATGAGGATCCTAGGAGCATCTCTGTTATGCAAGACAGCCATGAGGGCAAACATGCTCAGGACGGTGGGGGAGGGTGCATGTTTCAAACCCAAAGAAGAAAAAGGCTGTGACACATCCTGAAGCAAGAGTGAGAAGAGCCATAGCCTTGCACTTTACTGTAGGGAAATGAATGTGTTGCATTATGGCACAGACAACTGGCTGTGCATTTCCCTTAAGTACAGCTGAGTCTCCACATTATCCTCTCTCAATCCTGTTCTCATGGACAGGAAAGAGTAGCGGTGGGAGAACTTATCCTGGCTGAATTTGATAGTTCTTTGGATAATAATGAACTCACATAAGAGTTCCCCCTCAAAATGCTCATTCCACTTAAATGAACTTCTGCACATATACAATGTCAAAATGCATCTTGAGAGATGTGGTTTGGAAGAAAATAAGGACCTCTCATAGGAACATTTCTCTGAAGTGCAGCATATTGACTTGCCTAACAAAATATAAGTATTGCACAATGACAAGTCAGATCGAAGGTGAGATGTGGAAGGCACCAGGCTGCGAAGACCAGGTTTGGTTTTACTGGGCAAGGATGCCCTCAGGCTGTACTGCTTTCAGTTGATCCCACAGTCTGAAGGTCAACTGACCTAAACCGGGGATGACGAATGCATGGTCTTCCAGACATTGGAGGACTGAAACTTTCTGCTTGTTCCTCTTGTTTCCCTCTGGTTTTGCTTGCATTTCATGTTCTTCCCACTGTTCCAGTGCTTCATTTCTGAAGTAAGAGACCCTGGGGTTTAAGCATGAATGCTTTCTCCTACATGCAGCTTAGTTATACTACAGGCTACTGTAGCGATGGTGAGGAAGGGCACACAGCTCATTCTTAGAGACACAGTTATTGTATATGTTTCTTTGCATCCCCTCTTATACATAAAAGTCTCAGGACGTTCCTAGGTCTAACTTCTAGCAACGGAATCTCTAATCTCTGAGGTTCAACCCTTCTATGAAGTAAAGCTTTGTATTCTCCCCTGTTTGGAGGCACATGATTTTAGTGTCTCATGTTCCACAGCTGAGCCCAGCACTGAAAACTGGTTTCTAGCTAACCGCCTGTGAACCCTGCCTCCAGCAAAGGCCTGCATTCCATAGAAGTTCTCTTCCTTCCCAGCCTGGGGCAATTCTTTGAGGTAGGTCTTCTTTCCCTTCTGCCCAAGCAGGCTTTCTCCCCTTCCATGTTCTGGTGACCTTGGGCAGTAAATCTTTAACCTGCACTCAAGGCGTGTATGTGTCTTTCCAACACACCTTCTCTCAGCCCTGCCTCTGGGCTTCACATTCCTGCCCAAATCACCTTCTCCATCTGCCCTTGCTCTCTCTGACTGAGACTCTGATTCTTAATTAAACAGCCTACCTCATGAGGAATTAACTGATAGCAGATGAGATAATGAGACTGTTAACCATGTGTTCTTTCCATCCTGACTCTCCCTCTCCCAGATCCAAGCTTTCGCAAATTTCTTTCTTTTCGCCTAGATCCACTACATGAATTCCACAGCTGCTTAACCTGGAAGAAGGTGTTTTTCATATGCATGTGATCTACGTTCTTAACTAATCATTTTGCTTACTTTCTCTTTAACTTCAAAAGGGGAAGGTAAACCTATGTTGTAAGCCGCCCCGAGGCTTCGGCGAATGGGGCGGCATAAAAATGTTTTAATAAAATAAATAAATAAATAAATAAATAAATAAATAAATAAATAAACTGACACTTTTTCATAGGGGAAGCAGAAGCAGGTATGATTCTTGCTGTAAACTGTTTTTCTCCTTCTAGCCCTGTGATGAAAGCCATCCTCACCAGGGTGGTGTGTTGGCAAAGATCCTGACGGCCCTGGGGGGTAAGGCCCTCGTTTCTCCATCAAGCCCTGTTTTGTTTCTTCCCTACTTACTCTCATCTTTGATACATTTGAGGAATTGGCTTGCACCCTCTTCCACCAAAGGGCTACAGAACAACAGAACAGGCCCCTTCTAGTTTCCCGCCCCCTGAGGTCACAGCTACAGCTGTTGTTGTTGATTCCACTGCAAGACGGGCATGACAGGCCGGCATAGAGAAGATAAAGGCCGTTATCAGACAGATGCACACTCTGTTTAGGGAGGGAAGCAAGGAAAAGACAGCTTAGAAAACATTTTCCGTTCCACTCTGGCAGTAGCTGAATCTTATACCTTTCATCCATTCATTTGGAGTGTGTTTGCACCTTCCCAGATTTCCTCTCACCCTGTTAAATGGAAACTCTTCCTGTGTGAAAGACTGCGTTCTTCTTTGTAAGCCAGAGGCTATCGGAGTAGGAATATGCCCCCCAGGAGAAGCGGTTTAGGGCTAATTTTAGTGAAGACTGCATTGACTTCTCTCTTACAAACCAAATACAAAATTATAGAACAGCCTTATGCTGGGGCAAGAGGACAAGGAAAGATTATGACATCTTTGAGATTCATTAATGAGTATGACATGAACTTTCAAAAACAGCATCTGAACTAGTTCATGACATTCCCTTCCTTAGTAAACCAGTCTAGGGTGCCATTGTGTGTAATTTTTGAAGTCAGAACCCGTTTTTTATTGCTCAGTTCTACCAGGATACAGCTTTATTATTGGATTTACTTAGCTATTTGATAAACTATGCAGAAGTGGAGGTTTTTCCCCAGCATCCTGCATTTCACTGGGGGACATTTCATATGTTATGCAATAATTCCTCCACAGAAATAATTTCCATATAAAAACTAACAAGCAACCTGTGAATATATTGTCATGTGAACACTTGCCTTTTTACTATGTGTAAATGCAAAAGAAAACATGGCACATGTGATTGTTATTCATGTCAATCTGCCTGCAATTTACATGTTAAACCCCACAAATGTCTCCTCTGTGTGGTGGGTGGAGAGGCTGTGAATTGTATGGCTTGGATCCAGATGAGGGCTGGATAAAGTTTGTTCAGTCTGAATTTTTAGACATGCTAGAAAAGGGGGTATCCACTAACAGTGCCTCCTTTCTGCCGGTGGGAGCATCCTGTTCTGCTCACTGGAACTCTAGATCCATCCCAATGTGTTTGAAGCTAGATTTGCATAAAGAGTAAACGTGTAAATGAACTGACACTGTCATTCAGGACTAACATTCCACCCCCTCACAAACATCCAACAAGCTGAAACACCAGCTCAAGATGCCCTGTAACTGACACAAATTAAAAGGCAGACTAATTCGAAGTTGATTTCTCTCATTTCAGCATGTATTCAAAGCTGAAGGAAAACTTTCGTTTGGACAATAATACTACGGCCTTTCCTACCTAATAACAAGACCTACAACAGTGCTTAGTTGAACATTGTATTATGGCATGTCAAGGTGGATCATTTCCAACAGCTAAGGTCCTTGAACTAGTTTATTTTTTGAAGTGCTGATATCCTCATAGGTGTAAAAACTCATGCACAAACCAGTTATGGTATTTTGTCATTAAAGTGCTGGGTCTCCATGGGTTCTGGTTTTCCCACCACCAGGTCAGTGTGGTGCTGGAGAAGCAAAGTCTTCAGACGTTGTGAGGCATGTGAGGATGCGGAGTCACCCAGGGACCGCAGCAAGAAGAGAAATCCCATTAAGCAACAGTAACAGGAATCAAGGGTGAAACTGGAATTTCTCCCAGCTTCACTGCAGCTGCCATTTTGTGTTGCTCTGGCTGTCTCTGCAGGGAGAAGTCCTGCTTTCTGAAGAACACAAGGAGAGCCGTGCTGGATCACAGCAAGGGTCCACCTAGGCCAGCAGTCTGTTCACACAGTGGCCAACCCGCTGTCCTTGGGAAATGCCTGCAAATCGCCTTCCGTGCAAATTCCCCAGCAACTGTGGGAAATAGGCAGACTGTCTCTGATGCTGCAAGTTAACTTATACCCATCAAGACTAACAGCCCTGACAACTTTCTCCTCCACAAATGTGTCCAATCTCCCTTTAATGCTGTCCAAATTGGGGGACATCCTGTGGAAGTAAATTCCATAGTTTCACTATGTGCTGCGTAAAGAAGTACTTCACCTGTGCTGAACTTCTGACCAATCAGCTTCATGGGATGACCCACATTCTAGCATTACAGGAGGAGAAAAGTATCTCCCTATCCACACCTTTCTTCACACCATGCGTGATTCTGTACACCTCTATGTCTCCCCTTGTTCACATTTTTTCTAAGCTCAACAATCTTAGCTGTGCAACCTTTCCTAGCAGGGGAGTTGTTCCAACTCCTTCATCATTATGGTTACCCTTTCCTGTCTTTTTCCAACACTGTAATATACTTTTTGAGGTGCAGATCACACCATGGGCTTGCATAAGTACAGTAGGATATTGGAAGATTTCTTCTTAATTCATGCCTGCTATGAGGGTGGAGGGAGCGTTCTCCAAAGTCAGAGATCCAGCTTCAACCTTGGGATGAGTTCAAGGCATTTAGAAGCCGTAAGGCTGCACCCTAAATGACATAGGGAATAGAAGCCTTGCCCCCAAACATTCAGAACCCCAAGTGCAACAAGTGCCCCAGGAACCAGTATGATCTCCATTCAACCCATTATCCATTTATCTTACACAAAGTCTATTTTAGCTATATTGCATATATTTTATCTCTTTCTTGCTCTCTTAATGTGATCTCTGGAAGAAATAAATGAATATGAACTATTTTTAATTCAAGTTAAAAGTTTCTGAAACTTTGCATAGGACATTTGAGCATCCCTGATTTTCCTTTCCTTTCTTTGTAGCTCCACCTTGAAATATGACAACCCTCCTAGCAAAATAGACAGTCTAGGGTCCAAAGTTCCTTTTGCTGTGTTTCTGCTCTTGCAATACATTTTCCTGCCCTAGTTTCAGATCTACTGCCAAAGATATCCAGATCACTAGCACTGCTGAAAACATGAGTGGAAACAATGGCTGCATTCTCTGAACAGAGCATTTTCTTCCACTGTTGGTTCTACTCTTTACCAGGCATTGTAGGCTGGGAGGGAACCTGAAAGAAAGCAATGCTGACATTTAGGGGATAACACCTTGCAGGCCCAGTAAAAGTGGCACTAAGAATGCCCTTCAACACAGAATGAGTAATTTGGGATCACTGTTAATGTGAGACACAGGTTTTTAAATCAAACACACTTCTCATCAGAGTAGAAGAGTTTTCATTCAACAATTCAGGTTTCAGTTGTGGCAGGAATCAAACTATTGTGAACAGGCACAATGATGTGGATCTAAAATTATTGGGGAAAGAGGAAATAGGTCAGTAATATAAATGGATTACTAAAATATCCTAGATATAAAACAATGATTTTGACAGAGGACAACTTAATATTTTTGTTTATATGTTGTCCCATCTGGGGAACTCTGGCTGAAATGTGAGGCATAAATCCAAAGCCAGTATAAAATAAAGTATTGCTTTGAAATGTTCATCACCAAAATTGATGAACTTGCGATTCAGGCAAACTGTGAACATTTGAAATTTCAGCCTGAAATTTTGCAAAAGTGCCACCGCCGGAACTCTGTATGGCATTCTGTGGAGTGGCGAGAGCAGCGGTGGCAGCTTGACCTGACCTTGCAAGCCTCTTACCGCACGGTGTGCTGCATTGCTCTTCAGGGCTCACTTCTGTGCGCTTTGCCTTTCCAGGGCAGCACTTTGTGCATGCATCCAGGCTGGCGAAATATGTTTTTCCCAAAGTCTGGACACACTGTTTGTGAATGATCACAGAAAACGTAATATCTAAGAAAACAAGAAGTGCAAAGAGGAGGTAGGAAGGAACAAGTATGGAACTCCAGCAAAATATTTTACTCTCACGAACTGTGGCAATCTAAAACAAGTAATGGCAGATACCACTTTCCTTGGACCATCTAGTGCTTAAAAGGCAGGATGTTGGTGTAGCAGTGTTCTTCTCCATAAGGCACAAGAGCCACTGTTGACTCCTGAACATCCCAGGTGAAGCTCTTGGACTCTTTTAATCTGCAGCAGCTGCTGCCTCTTGGTGGTGGCTCTCTGGCTCTAGGTGTGTTTGCTTTTTCAGTGGGCTGTGATCTGGGCTATTGGAAGAGGCTTTGAGGTGAGAAATCAGGAGATCAGCTGTAAGCCAGCAGTGGGCCGGGGGTGGGGTGGGAGGCAAAGAATAACACAACTGGCTAACTGGGATAGCACATTGTGCAGATGCTGGAGGTGGCAGGGAAACTGTGCAACAGCAACATGAGCCTGCTTTGAGTGAGCATCCCATGATTAAAGCAAAGCACTCTTTCAGTGTTGAGAAGATCCATTCCAGTCCAACAACCACGTGAGCCAGCTGGAATTTGCCTACCAGGTGACTTGGAGACTGACTAATGAGGCTTTGTTTGGACTATATGGAGGGGCTGAGGATGGGGAAAGGAGGCCCAACGTGCTCCAGCTGAATCGGTGCAGTGGTGCAGCGTCACTGCGTGGAGGAGGAAGGGCTGCCACAGTCCAGGAAAGCCTCCCAGCTGCCTTGGTGGTTGTGCCTGAAGATCACTGGTGCACAGCCTTAGCAAAGTCACAGTTTACACAAGCTTCTGAGTCACACATGACTGTTCTTCAAAAGCTTGCACCAACATTTTAAAAGCTACTCCATTCGGTAATGGCTCTTTCCAGCTCATTTGTAAAAGCATGCAGTTACAATGTTAACAGCACTTAAAATTATAGCAGAAGCCCATTCACACAGAGCTGAGAACAAGCAAACATAGACAGGGCTCTGAAATGGCACTGGACACTTCCCAGCTACCATTCCAGATTTCAGTGAGATTCATTCAGAATATAATATCAGCAAGTGCTCTAAAGCAGAAACTGTTATTCGGTACCACAACTCCGTCCTCAAGCATGAGAATATCAATGGGAATACAGATACAGGTGGGAACGTGCACTTCCTTATTCTCTAAATAACAGTAAGCCTCATGCATATGGGTTTCCAGCAGGATTAGGGGACAGGGTTTCCAGACTTCCATGTTACTCTGAGTACTCACATCCCTGGGTGTGCAGGGGGCACGCTTCCAACTAAACTCTCAGTTTGCCTTGCATCAGTGCCCATCGGCAAATGTGAAGTGAACTGTGCCTCATTCCCTGGCAATGTCACTTTGGTGAGTTAGTACAGAACAAACTGAGACGGCTTCCTTCATTCTTCCTATCTCTAATTGTGAAATAGAAACAATCTGACCTTAGGGTAAAGGAAATTAATCTCAGCCACAGTTGCTCTGTATTTTATGTAAATAGCTCCATCAGGCACTTAAACAAACTGAGAAATGCTTAGCAGGAAGACAGAAACCTCTTGTTAACTGTGCCCATGCCAGAAGGCCCACTGTTCTAGTTCACACAATGTTGGAATTAACTCCAGTCCTAAAAGGGATGCCTCTCTTTTTTTATTTGGAGTCAGCAATGATTGTAGGTGACAAGAAGGGCTGGCAAACACCCCACACCACCTTTGATGCTCTTGAAGCTGTATGAGTGGATTGGGTTCTCAGGTGCATCTTAGTTATATGTGTCTTTTCTTCCCATGGTAAATTAGATTACAGAGCCTGACAAGGCTTGGCTTGTTTTCCTACTGATCATTAAGCATATGACGTGTGAATACTTATATCTCAGTTAAGGATTAACTGTAAACCAGGATGTGAAACCATGGATTGGGTACATCATGCTAAAGTGTTATATCTGCATTGATAATGGCAGATATAACACTCCAGAACAAGAAATCCAAACTGGGCTCGTGCCCTGAAGTGCAGCAGAGAAGACGAGGCACTGGTCAGGCACACTCCTCCCCTGTTTAAGCAGGAGGATCAACTGAGCAGCACTGCTCTTCTCCCAGTACCAACCAGTTGATCACCTGCTCCTGCCCCAGAGAAGAGCCTTAGGGCAGGAGGTGGAAGCAGCAAGCGTGCCTTTGACAATTGGTCCTGAAGGCAACTGTCAGGGGCTCTCCCTGGTTAGCCACTTGGCTGTTGTTTCTGTCTGTGGTTTCTTAAAACCAAATGTACTGTGTTGAAATAATATGAAATACCATGATGGGGTTTCAACCGCATGACAAACCAACAGAGACACAAGACAGAACCATGACAGACCCCTCCCCTCCCCCAATGTTTGTCATATTGTGCAGATCAACTCAAGGTATATATGCGTTTCTCTTCTTTCCCAGACTGTCTTCTTGTGAAAGTGGTGAAAAGATCTTGCTACGTGCCCCTCTGGGACAAAAGTTTGTTTAGGAAATAAAGCCAAGTTTTCCCAAGATTTGGGATCTTAACCAGGATTAAAAGAACAAACCATGGCTAGTGTTTGTATTTGGCCTGTGACTATCTGGCTCTTCTCAAATGTTTTGCAAAAGGATTTGCCCCTCAAATCTCATGCAAAAAATTTTCCAGTCAAAAAGTGTAGTTGGCGGCAACATCCCGATTTAGAAGGGATGCTCAGTTCATTTTGGCCCACTGTCTCCATCATTTTGAGGAGAAGGCATTCTCTCTCACTCCTTACCATGTCTTTCAGACCTGAGTCCTAACACTGAAAACAAGTTCCCACGCTGAGCCATAACATCAGCAGCAAAGAGAACCTGACTATGACAAGTGAGTAAATGACTGTCTCCTGTTAAAGGCAAAAGCATGGCAGAAATTTGTTTAGGGAATCTAAAACCAAATTAATCTGATGGCAGGTAGAGAATGAGGAAGGCTATCCAAAGACAGGAAACATCCTCCAGGAAAACCAAGTGGACAGTGTCCAACAAAAGCCAATACCATAATAAACTTGTTAGTCTTTAACGTGCCACAAAACAGTTAGTTGTTCGGGGGGATTTGCAAAGTATAGGACAGTTAACAAAGTGTCTTTTTTAAGGTAAATTTATCAAAGTAAGTTATGCTGAGAAAGACTCAGGAAGTCTTCTGCAAAAGTATGTCCTATCTCATTAACCTTTCAAAATCTTCGAGAGTATCTTTAGGAATGTGGACAGAACGAAACAGTAGACATTGTTTACTTAAAATTCGAAAAGGCTTTTGGCAAAGTCCCTCACCAAAGACTCCAGAGAAAACTTAGCAGACTTGAAACAAGAGGGAAGGTTTTCTTATGGATCAGTAACTGATTAAAGAACAGAAAGCTGCGATGAGGGATAAATGGTAAATTCTCCCAACGGAGGGATGGAGACTGGGGTCCTCAAGGATCTGTATTAGGTCCAATGCCATTCAACTTATTAATCAATGATCTAGCGTAAGCGTGGAAGTGGCAAAGTTTGCTGATGACACCAAAATAGGTATGGTGGTTATAACAAAAAGGGATTGTGAGGGATCACACTAGCAAAAGCAGTTAAATGTAAACAATTGTGAAATAATGCATGTTGGGAAAAATTCCCAACTTCATCCTCGTATAAGCTGATGACGGACAGTTCAGTGAAAATGTCAACCTGGTGGGCAGCTGCTGTGAAAAAGAATATTCCATGTTAGTTTGAATTTTAAAAGGAATTGAAAATAAAAATGCCAATATCATATGTCCCATAAACAAATCTGTGATGTGACTGTGCTTAGAATATTTTGTACAGTTCTGGTCACTGCACCTAAAAAGGCTATTTTAGAGTTAGAAAAACTGTATAAAGGGCACCTAAGATAATTCAGTTGCTGGAGTAACTCTTCTTGAGGAAAAGAAAGGTGCAATTTTTTAGCTTGGAAAAGATACAAATAAGGGGAGACAGGACAGAGGTGTACAGAACTATGCATGGTGTGCAAAAAATGTATAGGAACATGTTTTTCTCCCTTTCTCATAAACTTGGAACACAGGATCATCTCCTGACGCAGTGCATAGTGAAACTATGGAACTCCCTTCTATAGGATGTAGCGATGGCCAGCAATTCATGGAGGAAAAGTCTAGCAATGACTGCTACTCCAAATGGCTACATGCTACCATTAGCATCAGATGGTATGTACCTATGTGCACAAGTTCGTTTATTATAGTTATATCCCACCTTTACCCTTTCAAGGAACTCAAGGTAGCTTACATAATTCCCTTGTTTCTCTCAATCTTATCTTCATGACAGCCCTGTGAAGAAGGCTGGGCTGAGATGGTGGCTAAGAGACCCAAAGTCACCCAGTGGCTATTTGGGACAAGAACCCAGATCTCCTGAGTCCTGGTCCTGTGCTCTTAACCACTACACCACGCTGGCTTTCTAATTGCAAGGGAACTTGGGTAGAAGGGTGCTGTTGCACTCATGGCCTGCTTGAGGATCCCATAGGCAGCTGCTTGGCTGTTGTGCCTAGACAGGCCCATGGCCTAACCCAGCTTGGCTTTGCTCAGGTTCTTATGTCCTCACTTTCCACATTTTCCATAGACTGCATATTCAGCCCCTACACCCCACACTTATCCAGTTGTTGTTGTTGTTGTTGTTGTTGTTGCTAGTCGTGAAGTCATGTTCGACCCATCGCGACCCCATGGACAACACTCGTCCAGGCCTTCCTGTCCTCCACCATCCCCCGGAGCCCACCTAAGCTCACGCCAACTGCTTCAGTGACTCCATCTAGCCACCTCATCCTCTGCCGTCCCCTTCTTCTTTTGCCATCTATTGTTCCCAGCATTAGGCTCTTCTCCAGTGAGTCCTTCCTTCTCATTAGGTGGCCAAAGTATTTTGAGTTTCATCTTCAGGATCTGGCCTTCTAAACAGCAGTCAGGGTTGATCTCCTCTAGGACTCACTAGTTTGACTGTCTTGCGGTCCAAGGGACTTGCAGGAGTCTCCTCCAGCACCACAATTCAAAGGCCTCAATTTTTCAGTGTTTAGCCTTCCTTACAGTCCACCTTTCATAGCCATACATTGCAACTGGGAAAACCATAGCCTTGACTATATGCACTTTTGTTGGCAGGGTGATGTCTCTGCTTTTTAGTATGCAGTCTAGATTTCCCATAGCTTTCCTCCCCGGGAGCAAGCGTCTTTTAATTTCTTGGCTGCAGTCCCCATTCATTAATGTGACCCTCACACATTTATTTATTGAACAATTGGGAGTGACAGTGATGGGAAGAATTTTGTATTAATGGAATAAGGATCTTACCTGAAGAGATGGGGTCTTCTGCAATGTCATATTGCATGAACAATGTAAATGTTTTATGATTAACCTGCAGAGAATTACTAACACCTTTATTTCAGAAACCTGGACAGATTAACAGCCATCTGCATTTTTTATAAAATACACATCATCTCAGTTATATCAACCTAGTTATAGCAGTGCAAGTTGGAGAGGAAGACATGAGGATTAAAAGGCACACGAGCATAAAACCTGCCCTTTGCACTACAGAGCAAGCAACTGCAAATAAGCAAGCAAATCAAACCACATGCCACAGGGGATAGCTTTTTTAAAAACCCATCTATATGGGACATAATTGTCCTTTATGACCCAAATTCCTGACCCCATAAATGATGACCCAGCAAAGTTTTAAGAAATCTAGCTCATACTGGCAGAGTTAAGATATTTTCTTGGGCAAAATTTTCATCAGTAGAAATCCAATGAAAATAACTTCGTGGGAGACTTACCAGTGATGTCCTATGGCAAGGTAGTTGCAGTGGCCTGCAAGTCCTGACCTCAAGTCCAATACCTACCTTTAATCTGCTACATTTCTGTCTTGCCCTCCGTTCAAGAACCTGGGTGATGCTGGGCATATTTCCTTAGACTTGTCCCACAGAGTTCAATGGGGTTTGCTCCAAGAATGCATGTTGGGTTGCTGCCACTCACCACCACTCAGCCTCCGTTTCCATGTGCAGAAGAGCCCTGGTGTGCAAGACTAAAAGTGCAAAGGTGCGAGTATGGTGTATTGTCAGTGGACGGTTCCTAAAAAGAGGTTCTTAAGTGAACATCGATCTGCAAGCAAGTAACTCTAGGCACTCTACCCATGCTTAGATTTATTTTCATTTCACATATTTAATATAAGGCATTGGCACTGAAAACAGACTTTGTCACTCAGGCCTGACCTTGCCTGTTGAATTTGGACTTGGAAGACTTGGTCTCTCATGAAGTTTGTTCACTGTCCTTATTGTCTGTCACTGTACCCCCACCCATCCTCCACCAGACGCTGCCCAACTTTAGCGCCTACTCTCAAAGTAGGATGGAGAACACAATAGCCACCGAGACACTGAACTGGACTGGGTGTAACTCCCAAGTAAATTAAAAAGAAAAACAAAAACAAGCACCACCTTCCTGAAGCCCCAGTAGAGTGCCAGGCGCTGCACAGAATACAAATGCCTACCATCCACAGGGCTTTGCAGTCTTCAGCTTGCCACAGAACTAGAACGGGATTGCTACAATGACGATCACAATACACACAATATTGTTCTGCTGGCGACAGGACACTTACTTGGGAATCGAAGGCCCTTTTTCAAAGACCGCGTCCTGCTTTTCTAAATTAAAGCAAGACCTTTCCCCGCCTAAAGGTACAAAAAGTCCCAGCAACGCATCCCAACAGTTTCACTGGGTTCACACGCCCCTCTCACGCCCTGGCTCGCAACAACCCACCACTCGGCTGCCGACCGCAAGAAGAGGGAGGCGAGGCAGGAAAGGAGGCCGTGGGACGCGTGCACGCCCCGGGTGCGGCGGAGGGGCGGGTCAGCCCGCTCAGGTGCGCGGGGGCTCCCTCGGGGGCGTCGTCCGGCAGGAGCTCGAGCTGGAGAGCGCACGCCGGCTGGGGAGGGGAGGGGAGGGGCGGGGAGGGGCGGGCGCCGCCTGGGATCCCGCGGGAGGCGGTGCCTCCGCCGCCTCGCCTGTAAGAGCGCACGCCGCCGCTGCTGCTCGGCGGCGGGCGCCGGGAGTCGCGCTCGCGCCCTGTCCCGGGTGGCTGGTCGCGCCGGGCCGCCCGATGCTGACGCTGCGGGCGCCCGATCCGGGCCCCGGCTCCGGGGCGCTCATGGCCCAGCGCGAGGGGGCGGACCCGGCTGGCCGCGGCGTGGAGGTGGAGGCGGCGGCGGCGGCTGCCCAGGCTGGGTGCCCCCGGACGCGCCGACCCTCCGGCCGCCGCGGATCAGCCTACAAGATCAGTCGCCGGAGCTCTGCCGAGCTGGGACTGAGGGGCTTCGGCGGCGACGGAGGCTCCCCGGTGGCGGCGCCCGCGGCCGGCCCCCCAGAGCTGGAAGCGGCGCGGCCGGCCGTGGCGCTGGGGAGCCCCCCGCGGCTCCGCGCGGCTCCGCCGGCCGCGGGCTCCGCCGGCCGGGAAAGCCTCCCCGAGGCCGCCGCGGCGCAGCCGTGGCCGCTCTCGCCCGCGGAGACCCGCCACGAGCGCGACCACTGGGAGCAAGAGGAGAACGAAGAGGCGGAGACGCGCGCCGTGGCCACGTCTCCCGACGGGCGCTTCCTCAAGTTTGACATCGAGATCGGCCGCGGCTCCTTCAAGACGGTGTACAAAGGGCTGGACACCGAGACCACCGTGGAGGTGGCCTGGTGCGAGCTGCAGGTGGGTAGTTCAGCCGCGATCCTGGGAGGCGGGGGCGGGACCGAGGTCGAGGGGGCGCACAAGAGCTTTCGGTGCGCCAAGCCTGGCATCGCGGTGTTGTTGATAAGCAAAGAACAAATTGCATGGGTGGAGAGAGTGCCTCTGAGCACACGCAGAATGAACTGCCGGCAGGGATCATAGGGGAGGAAGAAGTGTTTTGCAGGCACAGGGAGTCCCGGGACGCCAGACCCTCTCTCGGGGGGAGTGACACCCTGGAAGACGATCCTCTGAGACGGGGGAGGGGGGGCAAAGGGGGAAACGCGAGGTATTCTTGGGCTACGGAAGAGCTGGAAGAGGGGGGCAAATAAGAGGTGCAAAAGAACCCGGCTGGGCAACGCGACAGGAGGTTTGGGGAAGTGGTTGAGTGGAAGTTCGGGCAGCGCTGGTGTCTCACTGTGATGCCTTTTGCTGGTGGGAAACGCACACACAGGTTGTATGTACAGGACCACCTTTCAAAAACAGGAAAGTCACTTCAGTGTCAGCTTACGCTTTGATTACAATTAGATTGGTTAACATCCTCCTTGTTTTCTTTTGCTTATATCTGTTAATGAACTGCCACACATTTGTGCTGAGCCTTGTTCCCTGAGTCTGGTTGTTCTGCCCCTTTCTTTTATGTGCTTATTAGGTAATTTACATAAACAGGCAAAAGGTGGCTTTTTCTGAACATAACATTGGATTTAGTTTTAAAAGTTGTGCTTGCAAGTTTCCAAAAATTCATTCCTGCTTCATTCTTCCCAGCAAATATAAGAAAAAAGATTGGCTCAAAATCCAAAGTTTTCAACAAGGCAGTGGCAAGTTGGTCTCTAGAGGGGTGTTCTGAGAATGGGAGGGGGTTGCAAGAGACCCCCGTAGAAGCAACCAAGAAAGACATCAGGTGAAGCATCTACGGGGGGTGCTGCTCATGGCTGGGGGAAGATTCAGGTCTGGCACAGGAGCGGAGTGGCAGCACTGAGTGTGTCTGCTTGGCTGGATGGGGGAAGGAGGCCTCCCCAAGGAGGCCACAGGCCTTCCTGACAGGAGCTCATTGGGTGGGCTTTACTTACGGCCCTCTGAGAGAGATAGGAGCTGCTCTCGCCCTGCTGTTTTTTATTTCTGTCTGGGGACTATTGCTGGGTGACAGTCCCTTGGGGTGTAGCGGTCTCTCCCTGTGCCTTTTCTCTCTGGGGCCATTCTGGAAGTATTGTATAATTGTATACATGGGCATAAGGTGGTGCTTTAGCATTTCAAAGATAATCCAATGTGGAGATGATACAAAACTGGATGGAATAGCAAACACGCTAGAAGACAGAATGAAGATCCAGGGTGATCTTGATAAACTTGAACACTGGACTGAAAGCAACAGAATGGGATTCAATAAGAACAAGCACCAAGTTCTCTACCTAGGAAAAAGAAACCAAATGCATCAATACAAGATGGGGAATGCATGGGTGAAAAAGAAAAAGATCTTGGAGTAATGGTGGACAACAGGCTAAACATGAGCCAACCATGAGATGTAGCCACTGAAAGGGCAAATGCTATTTTGGGATGCATTAACAGAAATATTTCTTCCACATCACAAGTAGTAGTAGTTCCCCTATACTCCTCACTAGTCAGAACTCATCTGGAATACTGTGTCCAGTTCTGGGCACCAAGATTTAAGAAAGATGCAGGAAAATTAGAAAGGGTCCAAAGGAGGGCAACAAAAATGATCCAGGGTTTGGAAACACTGCCCTGTGAGGAGAGACTGAGGGAACTGGGCATGCTCAGCCTTGAGAAGAGAAGACTGAGGGGGACAGGATATCCCTCTATAAGTACCTCAAAGGCTGTCACAAAGACGAAGGTCAAGATCTCTTCTTGCTAATGCCAGGATGTAGGACATGGAATAAAGTTGCAACAACCCACATTCAGGCTGGACATCAGGAAAAGTTTCCCCACTGTCAGAGCAATACAACCGTGGAACCAGCCGCCTAGAGAGGTGGTGGGCTCTCCCAGACTAGAGAGATTCAGAAAGAAACTGGACAGCCATCTGAGTGGGATGGTGTAACTTGGTGTCCTGAAACAGCAGAGGGTTGGACTTGATGGCCTTCATGGCCCCTTCCAACTCTATTATTCTATGATTTTATGATTCTATGAATTGGTATGAGTGGTTGTAAGCCCCTCTCTGATGGAAGAGTTTAAATGGGGGGGTGTTGAATCTGTTGTATGAATAAAGTGCAACAGGAAGGAGTCATATTTTGCTACTCCCTCCAGATGTGATAGTGACTGAGTTCACATTGGCACACAGTATTTGCGGCAAAATCGAGAGCCACACGCACTATTTGTGGCACAAATGAGAGTACTTGGTATGCTTTGAAACCAAATAGGTAGCTAGCTGCATTTCTGTGGTCTTTGTGGGATGCATTTGATTAAGGGCATTTCCTGGCACAGCTTCTCTTGCCCATGCATTGGTGCAGAAGGGCAGCCTGAAGAGATGGCAACCACCATGCCTTGCCCTGTGTCTGGCTAGTCCCTACAGGGCATGCTAATGGCATGGGGGGCAGGGGAGAAGGAAGGTGCCAGGCCGGCCACAGCATTTCTGCTGGCTTCTTTGCCACAGGCGTTCGGTTCAGCAGGCTCCATGTGACTTGCTTGGCACAGTGAGCTCGGTCACATGCTGGAAAGGTGTATGGCAGGCAGTTTCCCATCTTCCTCAAGGATTGGGCAGATGTCTGTGCACTAATAGTTAGAATAGTTGTGGGAAAAGCTCACAGATTCATGTATTTTTGAAAATGGCATAACTCTTCTGTTTTGTTTTTGAATTGTTAGGATTACGTTATAAAATCTTTCCTCTGAGAGCAAGAGTAAAATACCTGTTAGAGACCAACTCAGGTTAAAGAAATGCCAGGTTTTGCTTGCTCGGGTAATAGGCATTTTTATTTGTTTGTTTCTGCTCTGTACGGAGCTTGTGTCTAAGACTTTAAACCATTTTTTCACCTAAGTTTGAAAGATCATTTTGGTTAATTGAAAGCTGTGCTTTGAAAGCTTCTGTGCTGGGGCACCAACCTAAATCCTTTGAACTGAACTTTTTAAAAATGCATTTTATATATTCTGTTCTTGAAGTCACTAGAACAACTAACCCTAACATGTCATTTTCAATCCTGCAGGTTTTCACAGTGGCTTTAAAAAACAAAACAGTACTTTCAATCAATATTTCCCAACCATGTGCTCTTCTAGTAATGGTCATACTAACTGAGAATGATGGAAGTTGTATTCCAACATCTCTGCAGAACACAACGTTGGTGAAGCATGATTAAAATAATGTTTTGCTCTTGAAAACATGCCACTCTGTTCAAGCACTTTATATTTATTAAATATTCTAATCAGCTAGAGACCTGTGGCTGAAGATTAGATTGGCAAGCAGAAACCAGGGCAAACAGTTTGGCCTTTTTCTTCTCTCTCCCTCACTCTTTGCTGTCCCTTTGGCTCCATGGTTCACATTCTCCTAAACCCCAAATTTTTGCCTCCTCATTCTTGATAACAGAAGATAGCCTTCTGTCCTGAAAAGAGTTTTACCTCAGCTCCATCCCTCACCAAAATTCCCCCTTCTTTCTTCACCTACATTTCATGCTCCCTCTTTCCTTCAGACCTCTGTCTCCACTTTTCCTTCCCCAGGTTCTGGGTCCTCAGCTCCCTTAGCCAATTTGGCACCTTGCCCATTTTCCATTTACCTTCCGAGACATGTTCACACTCCACTGTTCACCATTCAATCATTCTGCCTGTCTAGGACCACCTCCCTGCCCTCAGCTTAAAAAAAAAAACAACCACACACACCTTTCCCGTATCCAGGTTGGGTGTCAGGTTTGTCCCAAAGAAACTGACCTTTGCTTTCATCCACAGAAACTGTAGTACTTGCCTACATGCTTTTACTGACACTGTTTCCTTCAGTAGGTGGAATGTTTCTGACTGTTGCTTTTCAAATAGTTCTACTAATAGCACTGCAGAGTGAATGGGCAGCAAGTTGGCAGGTGGCAAAGAATAGCAACTTTTTGGTTTATGTGTGTGTATTTGAAAATCTGAGGAGAGTATGGAAGAATACATGTGTTTGTTCCATTTTCAGCAAGTCTTTGCTCAGTCATGGGAAAGGTCAATCATGACAACTGTGTGACTGAGTCAAAATCAATGAAGCAACACATACGTTGGCATTTTGAAAATATATTAGTAATGTTAGAAGGTTTGTTCTCTGGTTCCTAAGGTGAGTAGGGATGATTGCGGTTCAATAGGCTCTGGCAGCTTCCCTGGACTTGGAAGGATCCATTTAGGCCATGAACTCCAGTCCCCTGCTAAGTGCAGAAGCCCCATTTGAAGCACTGCTGACAAAAGTCGATCTAGTCCCCACTAGAATACCTGCAGTGATGGCAAAACCATCACCTGTCTAGGAAGTTGATCCCATTGTGTAACTGCTATGACCATTAACTTTCTCCAATGTTCAGCTGAAATTTGCCTGACTGTAACTTATGCTCATTATTTCGAGTCCTACTGCTTCAGATGATGGATAACAGACTGCTGCTCTCTTCTCTGTGTTAACCTTTCAGTTACTTGAAAAGTACTGCATTCTCCCCTCAGTCTTCTCAACTCAAGGCTAAATGTACCACGCTTCTTCAACCTTTCTTTGCGGAACTTAGTTTCTAGCCCTGCAAATTTCTTTGTTGCCCCTTTCTGAACTTATTCCAGTTTATATGACTCTTTCTTGAATTGGATACAATATTTGAGGTGAGGTCTGACCAGTGCAGAGTAAATTGGAACTATTACTTCCCATGATTTGTAGGCTAAACTTCTATTGATGCAACCTAAAATTACATTCACCCTTTTTTGCAGCCATGTTGCCCTGCTGTCTTATATGCAGTTTGTGACTGACTACAACACCAAGCCCTTTTCATATATACTTTTTGCCAAATCAGGTATCCCCCATTTTATATCTGTGCATTTGATTTCTCCTTTCTCAA